AAAAAAAACACATTGGATCTAGAGTCCAGACTCTTGAAAACATTGACAAGAAAAAATACTCTTGATTCAATCTGATTTAAGCTTAAATCAAAAAGAAATCCGCTCAAATTAAGAGGCTTGGTTATTGATTTAAGCAAAAATCCGATTGAATCAAGAGTATTTTTTCTTGTCGATGTTTTTAAGAGTCCGGACTCTAGATCCAATGTGTTTTTTTCCCAGAGCTCAGAGCTTCGTGTGTTTCTGCACAAGTTCTCTCCAGGACCCGAGTAGCAATGTTAACGGAAAAATCGCGAAATTTCAAAATTGAAATGCTACTTTCTTACGACTTTTTGGCGATAAAATCGGTAGGATTATCAACATCTGAGCGATTACCTTCCGTTTTGACGCAATTTTAGCTCTATAAAATCGAAATTTTATCAATTTATCACGATTTTTTCTTCGATAATATTGCGATAAATTGCCGTCAATAAAATCGCGATTTTATTCATGCGTCGTTTCATGCGTCGCATTTTTTAACCCGATAATTTTGTTGTAATAATAAGTTAACAGAACCCGTCAAAAAATATACAGGCGCACATGCACATTCAAGCATAAAATATGCAACGTGGGGAAAATCATTAGCTCGAATACTCCACCGCCTCGCACAGAAAACCAAAATAATACGACCTTACAACCTGCGTCAATCATCCTACGCTAAGTGATATTGTAGCTCACATGTCATTCCAGCTTTTGGCGCGCCTTCAATCCCGAAACAGGCAATTTACAACACATATCTGTTCTAATGAACACACGTCGCTCAAACACTACTAACAGCGAACTGGTGATTGCTTTCAGATAATTTAGGAGGCACATTAGCAGGTGTCCGCGGTTAAAATCATATGAAATTCCGAACTTGAAGACTGAAGAGGTATCACCCTACATCTTTCTGATTACTGGGGATGGTTTCAAGAGTCGATAGTCATTTCAATACCTCTGTACCTGCGCCAGCAACTGACAAGTGGAAAGACAGTCAGTAGCAAGTTGGCAAAAATTGGTTTAGTCAATTTGAAATGAATGTCAAATGATCAATGTTTCTCGAAACATCTGCCCCATTTGCAATCGATTATTTATAATGAATTTAAAAAGGGTGAGGAAGACAGTGTCGCCAATATGCAAGAATCGCCACTCCCAGCACGAGGAAAGTTGATACGAGGAACCAGAGAGGCTATTGACCTTATTTAGAGCTTTTTGGCTTATAGGACTAATCCTTCCAACATCAGGTTGTCTACTGGTACCATTAATACTGGTAAAAGCGACTCATATGTATGTATGGCTTATAGGACTAATCCTTCTAACATCAGGTTGTCTACTGGTACCATTGGTACCCTGTCATTCAAATTCCTTGCTTTTTCAGTACCATTTCCTTGCTTTTTCCTTACTTTCCTGAAAATTCATTTTTCGGCGATTCTCAAAAATCCTTGCTTTTCCCTTACCTTCTCCTTACCCCACACGCAATTTTAAGAATATTCGGATTGGGAAAAAAGAATGATAGAATGACAAACACTGGAAAAAAAAAACACTTTGGATCTAGAGTCCAGACTCTTGAAAACATTGACAAGAAAAAATACTCTTGATTCAATCGGATTTTTGCTTGAATCAAAACGAAATCCACTTAAATTAAGAGGCTTGGTTCTTGATTTAAGATAGATTCTGATTGAATCAAGAGTACTTTTTCTTGTCGATGTTTTTAAGAGTCTGGACTCTAGATCCAATGTGTTTTTTTTTTCCAGTGAAGGAATAAACCTAAAAACACGAGGAATCGAACCGGGAACTTGATATATGATTATGTTAGGAATTCGTATACTCCTCGGGGTATTTTTCAGAGTTTATTACGAAAATCTCAAATTTCCGTACCTTTTCACGGAAAATCCGCACCACGTCCGTACCGACCTACCAACATCCGTGATTTTTCAGTGTATCCGTACTTTTCCGGTACGGTAAACACAGTGTACTGAACTTCGGTTCGTATTTCTGAAGTCTCTCTCTTCGACAAAATTTATTTCGTGAAAGGTCTTTTTAGAAAGGGAAAGAAAGTATAATAGGTAATTTCAGAGTTTATCACGGAAATCTCGAATTTCCGTACCTTTTCACGGAAATCTCGAATTTCCGTACCTTTTCACGGAAAATCCGTACCACGTCCGTACCTACCTACCAAAATCCGTGTTTTTTCAATGTATCCGTACTTTTTCGGTACAGTAGACACCCTAAGTCATGGTGTCTGCTGAAACAGGCTGGCCAAAAATCAGTACTTTAACAGTACTTTTTGAGTACATTTCCGAGAAATTCAGAGCCTCCTCAACGGAAAAATGCAGTACTTTTTCAGTGCCTCCATTTGACGAAATTCGAAAAATTTCAAACATTTGAATGTCTCTCTCAAATTGCGACAAAACTTAAAAATTCCAGACCTTCTAACGGAATTTCCGCACTTTTCAGTACTTCCGGACCGCCCTTAAAACATCAGTACTATTTTCGAACTTTCCGAAAATTCCGGACTTGTAAAGACACCTGAAGTGTGCTGAACTTTCAGTAGATATTTCTGAGGTTTCATTCTCCGTCAATATTTATTTTGTGAAAGGTTTTTTTAGAAAGGGGAAAGAAATTATAATAGGCAATTTCAGAGGTTATCACGAAAATCTCGAATTTCCGTACAGAAAATCCGTACCACTTCCGTACCGACCTACCAAAATCCGTGCTTTTCCAGTGTATCCGTACTTTTTCCTTACAGTAGACACCTTGAGTGTATTGAACTTTCAGTTGATATTTCTGAGGTTTCATTCTCCGTCAATATTCATTCGGTGAAAGGTCTTTTTGGAAAGGGAAAGAAAGTATGATAGGCAATTTCAGAGTGAAAGGTCTTTTTGGAAAGGGAAAGAAAGTATAATGGGCAATTTCAGAGTTTATCACGAAAATCTCGAATTTCCGTACCTTTTCACGGAAAATCCAAACCGACCTACCAAAATCCGCGATTTTTCAGTGTATCCATACTTTTTCCGTATAGCAGACAGGCAGACACCCTAAGCGTACTGAAGTTTCAGTTGATATTTCTGAGGTTTCATTCTCCGTCAATATTTATTTTTTAAAAGGTCTTGTTTAGAAAGGTGAGAGAAAGCAATACTTACAGGAGGATCCTCGGTGGGTCTTGTCCTTCTTCTTCTTGTCCTTCTCGCGGTCCCTGTCCCGGTCGCTGGGCTGGAGGGAGGCGGCGCCGGGGGAGGTGGCCGGGGTGCGGTGGAGCGGGGAGGGGAGGCGGCTCCGGACGAGGCTCACGCAGTTCTTGCCGACCCCGACGTGGCTGTCGATGCTGTCGATCGAGGCCGAGCGCGTCACGCTCCCGTTCACCTCGCCCTCCTCCCTAATCAAAGAAAAAAACAACCACAATCAACTTTAAAAAAGGTAATTCAAACCCCGCCGAGGCATTACGAGGGTCACAGAGAACAATGGGGGTGCGCACTCCGCGCTCGCCGAGGATTGGCTTTTTAGAAATTGGGTAGTGCCTACGATCACTGGGGAAAGTCACTTGTTTTTGGTGGATTTCATCTTAAATTTCCTGCCGAGTCAATTCCTACTTAGCATTCCTGGCCATGGGTTTGAGGTTAAATGTTCGTAACTCCCGAAAACACACGGGATCGTATAGCGGAGGACTTAAAAAGTTGAATTTTTTACTTGAGAAAGTGAATGTATTCCGGGCGTGGAATTTTCAGTTAAATATTTCGGCTAGTTTTATCGAAAGAAACAAATTTGTTCGGCAGAATCACATTTTAAATTGTGGAAAAAAAGTATTAAATGTATGTCACTGTACTAAATGTATGGGAGGTAACCGGGAAACGTATGCAACCCGCCAAACGTAGCCCGGCGGCTTCCCTTTGTTCTTGGGAGATATTACTCACACACTCTCACACGTATTCTCCAATGGCCAGGAATGCTAAGTAGGAATTGGCCGAGTGGATTTTGGAGGGTATGGATTCGATCGACATGAATCGATCGACAAATCAAAACGTGAAGCGATCGGCAACGATTCGATCGACAAAACCGTGAATCGGTTGAATTTTGTCGATCGAATCGCGTTTTTATTTTTCGATCGATTCATGTCGATCGAACTGACACCGGTTTTTTTTAATAATATGTCGATCGAATCTGTGCCAATCGATTCACGTTTTCATTTTTTGATTGGTTCGTGTCGATTGAATCCATACCCTCCGAGGATTTATTCCTCTTGAGTCAAGAGGGGAAATACTTAGATTAAGAAAAAAATATGTTTATATCAAGAAGAAGTCGCTTATTGCAGCCAAAAAGAAGTGAAAAAATGTTATAATTGAATAATCTTTCACTCTCAAAACAACTCGATTGCCATCAGTTATGGAAATACGAGAAAAACAAAAGTAGAAAATAATTTTAAGGAATGACGTTAGATTATCCTTTGATAATATGGTAATGTAGATTTTGAAACGACGCAATCGAGGTACGTGTTCTTGCAGTTTCACCGCCGCTAGGTTATTACTTATTAACACCCCCTTCGGTGATCAGTTTCCTGTCCGCCCTGAACAGAAAATATCTAGTGTGAAATAAGGTGGCAGTGGTGTGAGCTTTTAGTAAGTATCGCATTTCGTTATTTTTGAATGGTGTCCGGGAGGATGAAAAACCTTTTGTCTCAGCCCGAACATACCTCGTCTCCATGATCTCACCCTCGTCGAACGGTAGCAACGGTTTCAGAAAAGTTGGCAGACACGTTGGACGGTCATAGAGACTTTGTCACACGGGGCGGCTTGAATTACACATTTCCTCCGCAAAATATGCTTTTTGCTATGAGGTGGAAATTTCATTTTTTTTTTTTTTTTTTTGGGATGGGTTGATGGTAAAACTATAAGGATGCTACAATTTTCGATGTTTCAGCCTGTTTGAATCAGGGACAAAATTTTTATTTTAGAGACCTCGAGTTGTTATTTCCTTCTGGTGGAAAAGTTACTTTTGAAGGTCAACACTCAGATTCGCAAAATAATGACTGATGACAAGACAGTTGAGCAATCGGCTGAATTCTAACCTAGTTCAGAAATACTCGTTTTTGTAGGCAATGTAATCTAAAATATCTGAAAATTTCAAGGAAAAATGTGCATGAATGTCGTCAAAAATTCATGTTTTATCAAGGGAAATTTGGCAACTCTCGAATATCATACGACGTTTTTCTTTAGCATGGCAGCATTTTCCGCGATTGCTGATTGCCTGCTAGCCGAATGTGCTGGTTACACGCTCAAATTTCCATTAATTTCCGATCAAATGGTGACTGGTGCGCACCATCTACCATCAAATTTCTGCGCCCTGCAAAAATTCGATGGTAGATGATGGAGCTGAGGGGCTCATCCTTCATCTGATTTCCACACAACCGTGCTTATTTCATGCTTATTTCAATCAACATGCTATTTTAATTAATTTTACTCATCAATCTAGATAACTATCGACCGCGATCTTAGTCATCATTTTGATCGGAATTTGACGGGAATTTGATTGTGTAACCAGGCCAATACATGGTCCAAGTTCGAGTGAATAGGATTTTAAAAATAGTTTTCCGATTGTGTGAAGATGGAATAGAGTTTGGAACTCACGTTTCCCAGCTGTGCCTGCGGGAGGCGTCCTGCTCGGGCTTGTTGAGGCGCCTGGTGAAGCGGTAGAAGGCCGAGTTGGAGCCCATGAGGAAGCGCGGACTCGAGCTCGTCGAGACGGACCCCGAGCGCAGGGAGTCCGTCGACGGGTCCGGCGAGCTCAGCCGGTGGTGGGCCAGGTGCCGCCGCGGATCTGAAACAAAAAACAAAACAATCCGTTTAGTTATTTATGCATGTGCACTGGAAAAAAAGAGACTCTAAGATCCATAGTCCAGACTCTTGGATTTGATAAGAAAGGTTACCCTCGATTTAATCGGAGTTTTGCTTGAATCAAAAGGAAATCCGCTTAAATAAAGAGGCCTGACTCTAGACTCAAGCAAAAATCCGATTTATTCAAGAAAGAGAAGAAAATCACTTCCGGTTAGGTACTAATTATGTACGTGCACTAGGAAAAAGGGCTCTCGGATCCAGACTCTTGGATTTGATATAAAAGGTTACTCTCGAATAAATCAGATTTTTGATTGAATCAAAAGGAAAACCGCTTAAATTAAGAGGCCTGACTCTCGACTCAAGCAAAAATCCGATCGAATCAAGAAAGAGAAGAAAACCATTTACGGTTAGGTACTAATTATGTACGTGCACTGGGAAAAAAGGCTCTCGGATCCATAGTCTAGACTCTTGAATTTGACGAGAAAAAATACTCCTGATTTAATCGGACTTTCGCTTGAATCAAAAGGAAATCCGCTTAAAGTAAAGCGATTAATTTCCAAATCACGTATGCGCCAAAATTGCGAATGCAAGAAAAACAAGAAAACCCGTTTTATTAGCTTTTTTGACAATCTTCAAATCTTAAACAAATGTAGGTACGTTCTTTTAGAGGGTTATTTTGAAATCAGACATGATACTTTATACCAGAAAAAAAATAAAAAATAAAATGCAGCCCCTCTACCACCAAAATAGGGATTGGCGCTTACGTGATTATGAAAGTATCGGTTCAATTAGGAGGCGTGACTCTGGACTCAAGCAAAAAGTCGATTGAATCAAGAGTATTTTGTCTTGTCTTTTGTAAAGAGTATTGATTCTAAGAGACTTTTTTCCCCTGAGTGTTCGTAAACTTGAATAATAAAATACTGCATTATACTCACAACAGGTTTGTTGTCTAAAATAATTATGTAACTGGAGCCATGTACACTGGACATGGACCTCTTTTGATACAAAAATGAATTAAACCTCTTGCAATTTTTTCAGTAGAACACCAAAGAGAAGTTTCAGTTGAAATTTTAGAATTTTGAGAATTGGACTAAAAATTCGGCGCATACGTCAAATTATACCCTCTGCCACCAAATTTCACAAAAATCGACCAAACGATAGTCAAGATAACACTTTGGGCCACATTCATCAACTTGGATTTTCGAATTTTGAAAATATGAGTTGAAATTCAAGTTTTCTGTCAAAAAATGCCGCACGGTAACGAATTTCAACAAAATCGATTGGAAAGGAGCCGCAAATCGTACGATCAGAATGACTCTACAGTCTACACAGACAAAGGAAAACGATGACGCATAACGGTTAATTCACAAACGTTAAAGCGCCTTCATATTCGCGTGATACTGTGCAATACTTCTACGGTGGTATAGTTGCTCAGAGCGCCTTCCGAAGTATCACTTCGACTTCATGGCAGAAGATCGCGATTGCTGCAAACATGATACTCTACCGCGTGCGGAGTTACACATTTTCTCATCGCCGACGATTAGGTAAAACACATTCACAACCCAATTTGCGACGTTGCCTATTTGTACGGTATAAACGAATACGAACACTTTAACTTCTTTCTCCATTATCATTCCCAATTGAATACGCACTGCCGAGCCAATAATTACACTTTACGCCATTCTACCTCTTACCGATCCTACCAATTTACACATTCCACGATTACTTTTTTAACTTTGAAAATTTATTGGGCGACACAGTTGATGTGGAAGGTGGGAAATTTTAAAAATATTCTACACTTACTATNTTTTTCGCTCAAAAGTTATAGGCAGTTGAAGGTTTTGTCTTTGACCCCCCGCCCCCCCCTCTCTGGGGGGGCCTAAGTCAAAATGACCGCCATATTTGAACGTCTCGCATGCTACTGTATCACTCCTGAAAAGATGGATCATATTTGATAGGGGGCCAAATCTAATGGGGGATGGAACAACCTCTTTATTGGGCGACACAGTTGATGTGGAAGGTGAGAAATTTTAAAAATATTCTACACTTACTATCACAGGCCCTTTTTTAAATTTGATCAATTTTTCGGGAGGGAGGTAATCTTTTCCTCCCTTAAACACCCGAATATTTATAATATAAATGATAAATATCTATAAAAATAAGAACTAATAATAAACGCAAGAAAAATTCTTGAAAAAATATGAATCATAATAAAACATAAAACCAAAATGAATCAGTGAGAACGAAAACACGCCAACTCGGTAACTCAAAAATGCTTTATTTTCATTATAGAGAGTCAGTGTTCATAAAGGTCACTGGAGTTAACGCATCAATTCCAACTTGGACCTTCCCTTTAAAGTATCTTTCAGTACTTCTCTTTTGGCACTAAAAATCTTTTTCTTGTACTAACTTCTTCAACAACTGTTAAGTTTTGCCTTTGTCTTGATTATTAGTGTAGTTTCCGAGTTGGTGTGTTTTCGTTCTCACTGATTCAAATTGGGTCAAACAACATAAACCGATCACACCAGGGATCATGATTATCAGGTCTCATCTCCATTGAACAACCGTTGAGTTTTGTGACGTCACACCATAAGCATCCACGAATATTAATTACTATTCATTACTTCAGGAAAATAGGCGTTTCTCGAAGCACGCCCGGGTAAAAAGCAAACCCTCAGTTTTCATTATTATTAATCGCGAAACGCCCCCGAACAATCGCCGTGGACTTCCTTAAAAGAATAATGGAAGAGTTCACGATCTCGGGAGCTTGGAGCCGAGAAGGTTGCGGGAGGAGGGGGTGAGGCGGGGTTGGGGGGCCGGAGATTGAACTCCCAGATTTCGAATTATAAGGGATAAAGTTGGTGGAATGCGAGTCCCGGCCATTACTCAAGTCACTAAAAAATGATGCTAGACTCGGGATAATTTCCTAAAAGCGGCGTTCTACTTTCAGGGCTGGACTTGAGGGTGGATCCGCCGAGAACGCTCCGGTAGAGGGATGAAGATTGTTTAATAATTTGGTTTTTTGCCGTGGAAGCGTTTCGCCAAGTTTTACGATAAATTCGCTCGTGTGTACCTTAATTGACGGCGCCGCCATATTTTGCCGGCATGTGTGTCCTTGTTTTCCTCGAGTATCACTTTGTCTAGACTATTGATTCGTAATAAAATGTCCCGAATGCGATACTCTTTTAGACAAATGACAAAGTGTTGTTGCCTTTTCAGCGAGAAATTTCCCACCCTCGTGGAAAAACTCGTTTGAGAAAAAGTTACCTCTGGATTTAACTGTTGCCTCATTCGATTATATCGCTCAGATTGTTAGTGCAAGGTCTCCACAATATATTGTTTCAGAGAGAAAATTATGCAAAATAGTAAAAACTGTTAAGTATGGCTTTGAGGCGGATCCAGCAATTTGCCAACACCGGATTTCCTCCATTTCAGCCTATGCTAAATAATCGATTCTTGTCGGGGTACCGGTACCTGGCAGCCTGACTCCTCCAAGAATCGATGCATTTCCATAGGTTTAAATGGAGGAAATCCGGTGTTGCCAAATTGCTGGATCCGCCAATGACTACACGGAGAAAAATCGATGGATTTATAAACTAATTAGTGGCTCATATGGAGCACCACTAATAGTCCTAAATGAACTAATCATTCTCGGTCTGTGAACCATAGTAAGGTATCTCGTACCTACAACTACGAGTGGTGCACAATACCAGAGTAATCAAAGTACATTTCATCACTAAGATACGTGCGCTGATATTATGTGTTCCCTTTACTACTATTAGTGCAGTGGCGTGGCGTGCATTGCGATATATCGATTGTTATGCCATTTAAACCTATAGAAATAGGCCGGATTTACCTACTTGCCGCCCATGGGCCGCCTGTATTTTGCCGCCCTCATCTCATTCGTTTTGAAACATCAATAAAAACCGTCAAGTGAGCGTGCCGGAGGGAGAGGGATGCATACGACGCGTTTACTCGTGTTGGATACGTTTTTTGCGGAAGCCCTGTTAACACTACTAGCAAAAATTCAGAGAACTTGGCGCAAAAGTTAAGTTCCGTAAACCTGTCTCGTGTGGACAATGCCTTCCATTAATAAGAAATAAACGAAAAAATTATGAAAGAACAATCAAATGTGGTTCAATAATTTTAACTTCCAACGCCGCGCCGTGCTGATCGCACTTTGTTTGGCGCAATGCGTGAAGTATTCATGCAGTCTTGTAGGCGTCATGCGTTACACGGCGACCGCTGCTGACCGCACTGTGTTTGACGCTATGCGTGAAGTATTCATGTAGTCTTGTAGGCGCTGATATGGGTTACATTTCGACCGCGCGCCGCGCCGAGGGCCTCTCCTTTTCATCTCAAGTCCTCGTCATCATTGCTCTTTGCGCCGCGCCGCTCCAGGCCAAATCGCGTGTTTGGTTTCTCTCTCAACTAGACTAATGAAAGGGCAGCCAACCTTCTGACACAAAAATGTCACTGACAAAATTCAGATTCCAATGTCAGACCAAAACGGCCAAGAATGTTCATAAATGAGCGTTCTGGCCAAATTGCGTGTTTGGTTTCTCTCATAACTCTACTGATTAAAGGTGCTGTATTTTGTATCACCGCAAAACGACAAAATTAGAAAATACGATACTCACAGGAAATGCAAGATTTTGTCGCCTTTTCTCGTTTGCAATTTTATTTCTATACCTACATTTGAAAAAAAATCGCAAAATTTGCCGCCACGGGCCGCGGCCCATGTGGCCACCCCCTTAATCCGGCCCTGATGGAAAAGGATCGATAAACAGGGTGTTCGCTGCGAACACCTTAATAATAGATTCTTTACCATAGGTTTAAATGGCATAACAATCGATACATCGTAATTCACGCCACGCCACTGTAATTAGTGGTGTTCCATATGAACCACTAATTGGTTTACAAGCCATAGCTTTTTTTCAGTGTGAGGACAAGTAGGACAAATTCAATATTTGGGACACGAAA